TCCTCTCCCTTTAAATCCCTGACTGTAAAGTAGGAGGAACAATGAAAATGTTTTACGCTCGCAATATCATTTTTCATTTCTTTGTCTGTGCTCCTGCGGTGCTCACTCCTCATCTTCTTCTCCCCTGAAAGGCAGCGTTTGTAATTCAGTTGTCGATAGTAATTTGGTTTCACACAGATTCCCCGGAACGGTAAAATGTTCTCTCTCCCAAACGATTCCTACCAGACCTCTTTACTCCCTCGCAGACGTCTACATCTTCACTCTCCTCTCCTAACAGGATTTTCTCTTCATTTTGCTTCAATATCTCCCTTATATAGTCTATTTTCTCCCATTATCCCCAGAGAGGTGTCAAATAAAGATCCATAAACGTATAGATTTCAGTTCACGTGGACCTCCCCCTTCTGAAAAACTGACGCACAGAAAATATTGTTTCCATTCACATTATACAAAGGTTTTGCCAGCTAATGGTTATGTATTCATGGAATATATACTGTATGTGTGTGTATACATATATATTATATGTTTTTTGTTGTACTTAATTTGGTTATTTTGCATGAAAGTCAGTTATGCCGTTAATTTTTTTATGTTTATTCTGCAGGATAAGTCCTAAAATGAATAAACGACTGTCCAAGATGGGTGTCTTTCTTTTCAGCTTTTGTGCCATTTTTTAAAATTTCACTGAAACAGAAAGAAAAGGTTAAGGCAAAAAACTGATTGTCATCTTGCCATCACATCACATAGCTTGAAACATGCAGAATTCATTACCCGCTGTTTTAAATATGTTTACATTAAGTAATGCACTTCACATCTGTTTGCCGCTACAGTGTTAATCCTCCCGCATCCACTCCATCATCATAAAGCTTTATTAGTCACAATAAACTGCAGTCAGTGCACACATGGGATAAAATCCATGTACGACAGCTGGTTTGCTCCATCTGGTCTAGATTAAGCCAACAGTTCTAACTCTCTGCATCTTTGACAACATTTAAGCTAATTTAAGGTTAGCTTTTTGTGTCTGGTAAACCTTCTTTTTGTTAACATCACTGGTAAATGAACTGCTGGTTAAAAAAGCAGGTTTAGTACTATCTTACCTCCAGTTTTCTTACATTTTTGTCATTATAAAATGTTAACATATGTATTGGTGATCGTAATGGGATACTGTTTTATTTCTGTGAAGGTAAACTTATTGTTTTAATGTGATACATGACATGGTGAGAGCAGGGAGTTTGTTCAGAGGAACAAAAGAGACATTTTGATTGTTCTCCGCCAGCTCGGGGGTGTTACTTGTTTCATGAGAGCGGCCTGCTCATAGAGAAGTAATGAATGCGTTCATCTCGGATGCCTGGGCAAATTTTATAGCCATTTTTTAAGTACCATTCCTCTTAAGTGTGATTTAAATGATCCAAAGAGCAGACGTGGAAGAGGGGCAAAAAGGCAACCCACACAATCATTTTCAGTTGGTTGGTGAGACACTGAGGGAGACAGAGAAAGACAAAGGGAGGGGTTGCTTGTAATAAAAGGTGATAGTGATATATTTCAAAACCCTGAGGGGATTGGACCCAGCTGCAGAAAGAAAGCAGAAAATAAAGAGAGAAATGTGTTTGCATGTCTGTGTGTGTGTGTACCGGAGAGTCTGGCCAGTCGAAAAGTGAAAAATATTAGCCCCACTAGCCTATCCAATTAGATAAATCAGCATAGAGGAACATAGTGAGTTAAAAAGAAATCTATAAATCTTTGCAACAGCAGAAGAAGAAGTAGTGAACCGTCTTTGTTCTACTTTCTCAGCCTCACCGAAACTGGCCTCAGTCAAAAAATAATAATGGAACAACAAAAAAAAGGAAATCATATACATTTGTACAATCACTGATGTGTGAATAACAAAGACATGTTTGGATACACAAAGGAAGTGTGTTGTGACTCTTGGTCTTGTCTTGCATGAGAAACGCAGAGACCTCTGAACCAACGGGACATGTTTCTGTGTATGTTCATGTATAATGAATTGTGAAAATATTATAGTGGCACTTGCTTCACACGCTGTATCGAGCTGGAATAAGGAAAAGACATTTCACAGCCCTGCTGGGTGCTGATCAAAAAGCTACTTACTGCTTTTTAACAAGCTCATTTAGAAATGTATGTCATTAATCAGTCATCTTCCACACTTAAAAGGTGTTTGGAGTATAAGTGTGATGAGCTCATGAACTGTTTAGCCATGTTACAGGGTTCTGTTTTAAATTAAAGGAGCTTATATCAGATTTTTGCTAAGAATTCCTGAACTGATAGATGTTGTTTATGCTAACTACTGTGTAATTAAGGAGCAATTTATACCAGGAAATACATTAAGTTACACAGAAAACAAGCATATAGATATCAAATGCTGTTTTTAGACTTATCTGAGATATAAAAGACAGAGAATTGCCACAGGGAATGCTTTTAAGATGATTTTTAAACATCTAAAATAGCTCAGGGTATGTTTCCTTTTGACTTTTTCTTGACTTTTCCACATTTCACTTCAGATTGGACAGATTTTTTTGTGAAAGTCACAACTGTTGATGCTGAATGATGCTTTACAGAATGTCCTTTTCTCTTCCTCTGGGCTGTTTCCTCTCTCCTTTTTATTTCTTTTTACACACAAATTGCACCCGAAACCCAGTCGACAGGTGTCACACGACCGGGTTCAATGAGGATTCTCATGGCGATGACGTTTTAATGCTGGCAGCGCTCTCGTGCGATGTTTTCATTGATGTTTTTTCGCTTGCAGGGCGTAATAAAGGTGTGCAGAAAAAAAAGGCAGGAGCAAGACCTTACAAAACCTCAGTGACCCGTTAAGGTCAAATCAAACTCTCCCTCGAGGTGTGATCCTGTCTAACTTCCATCAGAGGAGATTTATGGTGCCATGATGCAGAACCAATCAATTCAGAAAGGCTTTTATTCCCACGGTCTCCAGTCCTGTAAATACCTGCACTTTAGTCCAATCTCTCTTTGCTATTTGTTTGTTTATTTCTATCTGCTTTATGTATTATCGCAGGTTATCCAGCTTTTTTCCCCTCTTTGTCTCAGATATAATTATAACACAAGCATAAGTACAGTGACAATAAATACAATTACAAGTTATCATGTGTTCCTGAGCAACATCCTTTGATCATTTTACCGATTTAACCAACAGAATCTCAATATTCATCAACAGTATCTTAGCACTTACAGCTGTGTGTGAACAAGCTTTCTGTTCCTGAGCTTTCAGTCTGCAGGTGCATGCAAATATTTCAGTCTGCTGATTAAC